TAAGATGCGGAAAATTTTCCCTCTGTCGTGCAACTTCAGGAACGGTTCGGCGCAAATAAATTGAAATTACACAAAACGTCGCCGTACCCTAATCGAAGTTTATGTACGAAAGATTAATATTATCGGTCAAAGCGTTTTCAAAATCTGGGAGTGTTACACCCAACCATCGAGGATTTGATTCTTGATATATGTGATTCCATGAAAAGTACCTGAAGGAGGGCCGTACTAATTCCAAAAATGGCATAGATCGAACATACTAATTCCGTACTAAAAGATAGCCCCAGTTGCGGAGCCCGTACTAAATTGGGTGGGGCGAGTGATGCGGGTTGCCTACCCAGGCGTTTGCAGGCGTCCGGCGCTGTTTGACGTTAAATTTTGGTACCTTAGAAGGTCGTACTAATTCTGGGGATGGGATATTCGGAACGTACTAATTCAGCCGGTCAGAATGTTGTACTCGTTGAGCCGATCCGGTGATTGGGTGGGGCAGCGTGAAGCTGGCCCCACCACCTTGCACCTGCGAGAAGTACCTGAAGAATGGCCGTACTAATTCTGAAAATGGCATAGATCGAACATACTAATTCCGTACTAAATGATAGGCCTAGTCACACAGCCCGTACAAATTTGGGTGGGGCCAGCGTGAACCTGGCCCCACCCAACTTCGGATTGACTTTTAAGCTAGTAAATATTCCGTACTAATTCTAATTTTAGTATGGTTCGCACATACTAATTGCGTACTAAATCGTGGTACTATCGGCGGAATTAGTACGGCAATGGGTGGGGCCAACTTCACGGAGGTTACCGTCCCTCACCGCGGCACCTCCGTGCGAGTATGCAACCCGCCCGCACGCCTGCATGCGGTACAGTATAAGCAAAATGAAGGAAGGGGTCTGTGGACCACCATGTAGCACAGAGCGGACCCTTGAGTGTGTGGCTGTTCGGGCACCGCACCGCAGGGGAGAGGGGAGCCGCAGAGCTCGCGGTGCAGTGCGCAGTGCGCCAGAGTCCGAAGCTTTACCTCGTCTTGTCCGCCCACAGGAGGGCGGCTACTCCGGGGCGCTCAACCTGCGCGCCGTGCGCCTCGTCGGGCTGACGAGCAGCGCGTGCAGGCTCGTCTACGGCAAGGGGCTGACGGAGCGCATGCTGTGCGCCGGCCGCAGCGGCGCCGACTCGTGCCAGGGCGACTCGGGCGGCCCGCTCGTGCACAGGGACGCCGCCGGCGACACCCAGCTCGTCGGCGTCGTCTCCTGGGGCTACGGCTGCGCGCGCAAGGGCGTCCCCGGCATCTACTCGCGCGTGTCCAACCCGGACCTGCGCGCCTTCATCCAGAGCGTGTCGGGCGTGTAAGCGCGCGGCAGAGGCGGCGGAGGGAAGGCCCATCCCGCCGTCTAATAAAAACTAGTAACAAGAAAATTTGCTGTTTTTCGGGGGGGGGGGGGTGAGATCTTCTGATGCTTGATCTCCAGCTTACCATGTCTCCCGTTTTTCCAAGAACTCTCTCTCTCTCTCTCTCCCACGCATACACACACACACACACACACACGTGCGGATAGTAGTTGATAGAACAACAAGGGAAATGACCCGTTTGAACTGAACTACCCCTCTGTTTACCGCTGTATTTTTCGTTGACTCCCCCCCTCCCCCACGTCACATTTTTTTCGGACATCCGACACCTGCGCCATCCCAAATTAGGCATAAACGTTTCTTTACGAGCAGATAAGGAATTTGCCTTTTAAAAAGTTCAGTGCGTAGATTAGGTATCCTGTTACAATAGAAGAAAATTATGCGAAGAAACTGGAGCTTGCAGCACCACTGCCGACGTCTATTTTCTCGGTTTTCTTATAGTTTCAATCGAACCTCTAGACTACCGGGCCCCCTCTCCTCCCCCCTCCATTTCCAACCGTTATCGGTACTTAAGGAGAGTACAGTAGGGAAACGTCGAATGGGCTGCCTATCTCCGAGGCGTTCACTGGGTGCACTTTACATCTGCAAAGGACAGACCTGACATCACGCAGTACAAAAGTTAGGCAGTCCATGGGTCATGGCACGACTGGCAGTTTCCTTACAGCTTTCAATGACTCATGTCTAGCTCCCAAATGCATATGGTTGACAAATCACAAACTCCTACATTCTTTTGCAGAGTTAGAAAAAGAAAAGGGTTAATAACGACAGGAAAAAAATTCTGATCTATGAATCTATTTATATATACAAAACACATGGATTTTCTATAGTATCACATAATGATGAGGTGGAAATCAGAAATGTTGAAAAAGTAGGTTATACAAACACTTCAGAAATAAGATTAACAAAGAAACGTCAGAATATGAACAGCACATCAAATGAATTCTGCAGTGTATGCAATGATCAATCACAACCACTTGATGGAAAAGGGTGGCAACCCGAAAGCATGGCTGTACATTGAAGGTTCCACGTACAAGAAATTATGATTGAAACAATTGGAGAGACATTTCAAACGTCGAGAAAAAATCTACAAAATAGAAGACAACAAACTAAAGCAACAAAAACATGCGATCTTTCCACAATAATCATGTTGGCCTGATTAGTCGTCGTCCTCCTCCTCTTCCTCCTCCTCCAGGATATCTACGTTGATGAATGTCACCTCAGCACTGTCACCCCTCTCACAGTCCACGCACTGCCCAACTTCACATTCGTACTCATCACCGGGGCAGATGTTGGGCTGGAGCCAGTGGTCGTAGTGGTTGGTCACAATACCCAGCACTCGCGCCCCATTGCCACCCTGAGGTTGATGAGGGGGTCCGCCATAGTAGGGCCCGGGGGCCCTGTTGCCGCCCCTCAGGTATATCTCCATTTCCATCAGCCCCTCGCCGCCGACCCGCCGCACGAGCACGGCGCCTGGCCGCAGCGCCTGGTGCGCGGAGTCGTGCTCCGCCAACTTGTTGAACAAACTGTCCACGACCAGGTCGCGCGTCGGTGCACTGCTGTGCGCGTACTTGAACTCGCACGTCATGGTGATGCCCTCCATCGCCTCGCACAGGGCGTCCACCTCGGCCTGGGTTGCCGGCGCCGCCAGCGCGATGTGGAGCACCTGCTCCTCGTCGTCCTCGCCGGCCGCGGGGATGCAGATCAGGCTCTCTTCGTCGCACTCAACCTCCACCTTGATTTGCACTGCACCCTCCAGGGCTTCAGCTGGAACCATGGGCCTGTTGGGCGGCATGGTAATAGTACCGGTATTGCTTGCTTCCTTGGATGAGCGTGACGACCCCTCCTATCCCAGGCGGGGTTGGATCGGACACAACACAACAAGGTATTCCGGAGAACTGGAAAAGAAGAACAGCACGAATAACAAAGGGGCCTGTGATTTGTCGCTCAAGTGGAGGGGGAGACCGGGCGACGAATCACGGGCCACCTTGTTATTCGTGCTGTTCTTCTTTACCCGTTCTCCGGAATACCTTATACAATGGGAGCGTGGAAGGAGATCTGCTCTGCTCTCTTGACCTGGACAACCAACCGACAACTGACACTCTGGCGTTGAGTGAGTTTCCTCTTGATCCTAGTTTCCCTGAGAAGTGTAGTCTGCTCGTCGCTCGTCTGTTTCAATGGCGCAGTGAATGCCGTGTTGTTTGGAAGTTGTTTATCGGTTGGTAAACTGTGTTTTCTGGGATTTCTGTCAAGAAAAGAAGGTTTTTATGATTTCGGGTAGCTGCTTAGGCAGAGATAACTACCTGGCGTCCGCGAATAAGTACATAATTGCACACCCACACCCCCACTACCCCCCACCGCCCCCACCACTCAATTCCCCTCCAGTTTCGCCAGTCTTGCACCACGACCTGCACGGTGCACTCGTTAACCTTAAAAGTTAACACACGTTCTGAATAAAGGCCTTGTCGCTTGATTTCCGAGAAAATCATTGAAAGTTTCAGGAATTTTGTCTTTTTCTAACAGGGAATAAAGAAGTTGGCGCAAAAGAATAAAGAAGTGACTTTTAGGGATTGGTCTGTGGTACCACTGATCACTGATGATAAGATTAGCAAGCAGCCGACGTTATCAGGCAAACTTAGAAACGTGAACAAAAATTGATCTCGGTTTACTAAATTTTCACTTGTGGGGTACTTTTTCAGTTGAAAGTAATGAAATTGTGTATTTTACATTGGCGCATTTTTAAGTGACGTAGCTGTCATGAGTCTAAATTCCAGGTGTTGGATGTTAACCCTCATAACGTATGGTAAACACTTGGCTTGGTTATGTTACCCCTTTAGTTAAAAATTAGTTAAAACGGTGATTCTGCTGCAATTTGCGATGGCTGTCGCAATGAAGAGAAATCGTTCCAGACGAAGAATTGCCGCCTTAAGTTTCTTGTCGAACATATCATTAGATGGCACCCATAGTGACACCAACTTTAGCTTTTTCTCAAGAAACTCAACATCAGCCAGCAACACCTTCAAAGCACTTGATCCCCAAGAAAATGATGAATGCATTCCTAAAGTAGAGCTTCAACCTAAGGAAACCCCCATACGAGATACCAAAACTCTCTTTGTTAAACGTTCTCCCATCTTGGCAAGGAGTCCGACTCGACTGAATAGTCAAGTTACTGATCTCAATCACACCCCGTTCAAACAAGCTGATCAGGATGTATTTTCTAAAGTGACATCCACTCCATTTCGAGAAAGGTAAAGTTTCATGTCAATCTTATCATATCGAATTGTTGGATTGTGTTTGAAATGGGTGCTTTGAACTTGTTTTGTAGAACAAGTACAACTGGAAGTGAGTCTGGCTTTGAAAGGCGCCTAGGCTCAATGAGCCACAGGAAGCGCTTGGTATACCATCAAGGTTCTCTTACTGATGAGAAGCACCATCACAACTACAGCAGTAGTGAGAGTATATCGGGTATATCTGGTTCACGTAAGCACCTTCCAGCTCTTATTCTAGATATTTCTCAAACATGTTTGGTATTCTTTTTGGAATAAAATACTTTATTTGCCTATATTTTTTCCAAAACAGATCGTATCAAAACTCAAACACTTCAAGATGCATTTCAAGTACGAGAAGTTCGTATGATTCAACCTCGCAGAGGTCAGCATTTTAGAGATGACAGAATTGTTCTAGTTTCGGCACACAAAGTACCATTTCTCGTTTTTTCATCAATTCCATACAATAAAGGAGGAAGGCAATTCAGGTTTGTAACATTGAACAACTAAACAAAAGTAAATGCGAACATTTTTTTGGTTTTTGCGTTATTACGAATAAAATGTCTCTGTTGCAGAAATGATATGCGAAAAGAAGGGCAAAGAAGACGTAACACATCAGGACCACGACCTCTGTCATCAATCAATGATGGCCTGGATCCTTTTGATCTTCTGGGCCTTGAAAGGGGACAAGATGGCCAAGTAAGTGTTTGAAAAACCCACTACTTGCAGAAAGTTTTTAGCAATCAATATCCCTATTTGACATTGACATTTATTTTAGGAAATATCTTACGGCCAACTTCTTGTTCCGTCAAGAAACTTCTCTCGTGATCGGAAGGTACATTTGCCAGAGTATGAGGCAGTGGAGTCATTTCCATCTGGTTCAAGAAACCATTCTTTTGCAAGGTAAACTTCCCTCATAAAACTATATCTAACACTTACATTGTAAAATTAAGTTATGTGACCATTAGAGTACATTTTTCATTATGATGTTAGAAGATAGAAATAGAATAGTATGTACTCATACTCTGATTTTTCAGGACTAAGGAATTCCTAGGTCTGAAGGATGGAAAATGGTAATGAATTTTAAAAACTATGGTTCTATCTGGTGTGAGGGAAAATCTGAAATCTTTCTCTTCTGCTTGTATTGTACAAAGTGAAATCATTTTGGTCTGCCTTTTTGGTAATTTTCTGCATCTTCTCAACTGCAGTGGTGTTCTAAAAGATTTTTAACTTTACCTAATTTTGTGGGTCAATCATGTTTCAATAATCTCTATCTTCTTTGCATGCTGTTACTTGGTGTACGTAAAGTGTTAGAGTTAAGTTTTCAAATAAATACTGTTAACCAGACTAAAAATGTGCATGTCTCTAAGGTGGAGGGCAGCTGAACGTTTTCTGTGAGGATCAAGCTCTGTTACAGAACTGACTTCCTTGCTCTTATTTTCAAATTCTCTTGCTATGTGTACAAGTGTTATTCTCCTCATAATCTGCAGCTTCCTTTGTGTCTGGTTTTAGGTGCTTCTCTTATGACAGCTCAACTCATCGCTCTAATGTACACAGCGTTCCCGGATCACCTCCTGTTTCTTACAATGACATTAAAGGTAAACATCCTTATGAAGCACAGGTCTATAAAAACTGACAAGATTGTAAGAACCACATTACGTATTTTTATCACAGGAAATTTTGATTGGGAAGAAAGCTCTGGACACTTGCAGCACTTGTCTCATCCTGTAAACCCATCTTCAGTTCATTATTCAGCAAATCTCCTTGATGATCCTGAGCTTATTGCTGGAAAGCATCGTACACTTCTAACTTTTGCCTCCTACATGGTGAGTTGCTGTGAGGAGCTTCCTCCATTGTACAATTCCTACAAGTAGTACTTTTCAAAAACCTGTCATTTCTTAATTTCGCACTTAATATATTACAGACATCAGTCATTGATTATGTACGGCCATCTGATCTTAAAAAAGAGTTAAATGATAAGTTTCGTGCTAAATTCCCTCACATACAACTTACATTAAGTAAATTACGCAGGTAAGAGACAACATTTTATTTAATCTAATCTAATTTAATCATATTGGTCTTGTGTTAAAATTTTCTTTTTGTTTATTTATAAAAAAATAAAGTATCAAGCGAGAAATGAGGAAAATTGCCAAGACAGAATGTGGAATGGATTTGCTGACTGTTGCTCAAGCATACGTTTATTTTGAAAAGTTAATATTGGCTAATCTGATCAACAAGGAAAACCGTAAGCTGTGTGCTGGAGCCTGTTTACTTTTATCTGCAAAATTAAATGATGTTAAGGGTGATGTGCTAAAATTGCTAATAGAGGTATGTGCTATTCGATGTTTATTTTAGAGTACATTATTATTTTAATGTGGTTATCTTTTAAAAATTAATTTTTGTATTTGTGTTTGGTTTCAGAAAACAGAAAGCGTTTTTCGTCTTAATAGGAAAGAACTTATTTTATCTGAGTTTGCTGTTCTTGTTGCCTTAGAATTCAGTTTGCATATACCTACTTGGGAAGTTTTCCCACACTATCAGCGACTTATATACGAATCTTAAATTTTGCTGACTGTGATCTCAAAAGATTAATGCAGTTATAATAAAGCGGCATGATAAGACATTTTTATTAAATGTAAAAGAATTTTTGTTGTTTTGTTTTTACAAAGTTTGATGCTAAACACTAGAAATTAACAAGAATATGTTAAGGTGCTGCTGGTTTGCATTTAGGTACCTCTTTTATGGTGCTTTTAAGTAAATGTTCAAAATTTCTAGTCAAGAAGTATTGTACAATTTTTGTTTTCATTGCCTAATTTGTAGTTTTTTGAATGTGAATTTGACTTCTGAATTTGGCCAAAATATGATTAAGTAGGGAAATTTATTTGTTCACGTACTTAGTAACATAAAATTATTATTCGGATTCAGGGCTCTTTATTTCAGCATGTGTAGGTCTGGTACCTCTTTGTTGAAGACTTTTTTTAAATATTATTATTATCATTTATGGGAAGTATAAGATTGACTGTATTCAGCAATTTTATTTTTCTGGAGTACTGTAATGTGTATTTTAGAACCTTGTATTAGTTTTCAAAAGAAAGATTTAAATTACATCTACCAATCTTTCTCATGTGACTTTGAACAATTTAATTATCAGTGTTTAGGTGTTACCTACGACTGAAAGTTGTCCTTTTCTTAAAGTTTACTTAAAATCATGTACTTGTACATGTTTGCGTCTGTTCAGAAATGCAAACATTATGTTTTAAATGCAGAGATATCTGAATCCTTGCACTTGGCCTGTACTTCTACTGTTTTCAAAGGTTTTCTTAGTTGTTTTTTTAAATTTGTGATTACCACATCAGAGATACTATTTAGATAGGAAAAGAGAACATAGTACAAATACACTTTGTAATGCTGAACTCGCCAGTGTATGTTTCTTTGCTTGCCCTCGCCCCCAGCTCCTGTTCCCTCAGTGTCGTCCTCTCTTCCGGCAGCGTGACGCTCCGCTGCTGGAACACGTGCGATTGGAAGCTGAAGCTGATGCTGCTGCCGGTGCTACTACTGCTGCTGCTACTGCTGCTGCTACTGCTGCTGCCACTGATGCTGCTGCCGCTGCTGTCGCTGCTGCTGCTGCTGCTGCTGCTGCTGCTGATGCTACTGCTACTGCTACTGCTGCCGCCGCGGCTGCGTGTCGCGGTTCATGTGCGAATAGGATCTGGTGGAATAGGGGCCAAGGGCGCGCCGTGCCGAGAGGGAGGGGAGGGAAACGAAGAGAAAGAGAAGATGCAGTGGAGCAGGATCCCGACGAGAGGCGCAAGCCCCCCGAATCACCTCCTGCGAAGCGATGTGCGACCGCGAATGAAGAGCAGCAGTGCAGCGAGCCGCCCCGCCATCCGAGCAGCTCTGCCGCTGCAGCCCAGCCCAGCAGCCCGGCAAGGACAAGGCACGGCGGCACGGCACGCCTAAAGGCGCCTAAAGGCAGCCGCCGCGCCAGGCGGGCATCAACAGCCCATCACGCGACGATCAATCAGCCGACTATTAGTAGCGGGAGTGTGTTGGGTTTGGGGGGAAGGAGGGGAGGGAGGTGGCGTACCCGCTGCCGGACGGTGGTCCTCTTTTCGCAGGAAACGTTGCCCCTTCCACTCTGATTTGGCCGGGCGGGCTCCTTGACGGCATCCTCCATCATCATGGCTGAGCTGTTGACCCCCCCACCCCGCTGGGGTCGCATGAATGGGGCTGAATGTATGATTAATGCCGGGGCTCGCTGACGCTAGAGCTGACGCTGCTGACGCGACGCGCCGACACGGCGGCCTCACATTTCTGAGGCGTTACACGGAATTCCCTCTCTGCTGCGGGCGGGCCGTGCGGCGGGTGCAAGCGCAACGGAATAACCAGCGCATTGACGCGCTTCCTTCCGATACCGCAAAACGAGAGACCGGAAGGGAGCGGGCACGCCACACTCGCCCGCCGCGGACAGAGGGAGCCATGTGCATTCTCGACAGTGTGCTTGCACGCCACTCAACAGAAATGTAACACTTTTGTCAAACATCTTCTCATGTGTGCGTGCAACGTCGCGCACTTTTCTTTGTGGGGAGGCCGGCCGGGGTCGTCGGGACGGGCGTTACTCGGGCCCGACCCGGTCCGACCCCAAGCACCCCCTCTGCACGCCCCACCATGCGCGGCGCGCGGGCGGGAAGTTCAAGGGGACTGGTGCGCCACAAGAGCGGAGATTTGAATGCGCGAGGCAGACCGCTCAGCACCTTGTCCTCCGCGCGGCGCAGCGCTGCGGTGGGAAGTGCACCTATACCGGCCGCACTTTAGGCCCCCCGTCGGGACAGGCGCCGCCGCCCCCCACTCCACCCCCATCTCATCCCTCATCGCGTTTTTATTTCGGCGCCCTTGCTCCACAAAAGTGCCGCGGCCGCCGTCAACGCGTCGTCCTCGTTTGCCACCTCGTGCGCGTGTCAACGGTTTTCCGTTTAAAGCGAGATACGACTTTTACAGATATCTCGTTAGTTTTGACAGTTTTTAGGCAGCGGCGGCGGACTCAAGTCTAGCGGAGGCGGAAGCTCCGGGGAGCGATGACTCCTTCTTTTGGTCGGAAACTGGATTGGTGACAATGTGAACTGGTCCTGTCGCGCGCCTGTCCCAGCCCGGGCGATTAAGGTGTCAAACCGAACCGAACCAGCGACGTCGACCCCATTCACCAAAGAAAAACAATAAGAGTGATCGATATTATGAGTGTTTTGGGTTCTGGGTGATGATCGAGCAACTTTTTATGACTGCCGTGTTTCCCTGGGCGCGCGCGCCCTCGTGTCTCTCCGAAGCGCTACAGTAGGGAAATAGAACTCTTGTGCGTGAGACACACTCTCAAACCTTTTGGTGCGAGCACTTATGTCCTACACCTTTTGGTGTGATGCACGTGTGTACTTTACCTTTTGATGTGAGGTACAGTGCGTCAGACACCCTTCGGACGAACTAAACCTCACACCAAAATTTGTCAGACGCGCACTTGTGAACTCCCATGGGTTGTAGGACAAAAGTGCCTCACACCAAAAGGTTTGAGAGTGTCTCACACCTAGGTTTCCAGAGAAACTTTAATGATTGCAGCATATGGGAACGTTGCAGGAAATACGTCCGATTTACTCAGTTTCATTCGCCAAATTACGGGAGCTGAGCGCCTGCGAGACTGAGGGTGGGCTACCCCGCAGTACACGCATGCACTGTAGGCGAGATATTGCCTACCTACCAGGCGTTAGTGCTTGGAGACGCACTGAACTTCGCAAGTAGGTAACGGCGAATGACAGACGTGTTTGCAGCCGCTACTTTTGTTTATTACGTGACGTCCCCCTGTAAGTCGAGGGTCACTATTCAGAGACTAATATAGGGCTTAACAAATTAACTTCATCAAATTCGCATATGAGAGAGACTCGTCCCGACAGAAAGGGCGCGACAAAATAATATTTAGCGCGGACACGAAACCGGACGCGAACGAACGCGGAGAATAACATGGGCTCTTATGGCTCTACTCAGCTCTGTCCGTCCACACCGTCCGGTCCACGTCCCTGTTTGTGGCTACACGATTGTAGCTACAGCCGACAGTGCCCCGAACCGTCTATAGACGAATTGATTACTTCCAATGCTAGAATATCAACCAGAAGTAAACAGCGCTAAGAACCAAAGCGAAAACGAAAGACATCAATGCCTCTTCGAAGCTC